GATTTTAGTCTTCTTCCAGAGAACCAGTGTTAGACTTTAGGCAAAAGTTTGAAGAAAGGTGGTTTTCTCTTTAGAAAAAACACTTACTCATGGTTTCTTTTTCTTACAATAAAATCTGAGGACTGAAATAGACCAATCTTGAAGGCACTCAAGGAGCCCGGGTGATGCAGTGTACTAAGCACTGGGCTGCTAACCAAAGAGTTAGCAGTTTGAACCCACCAGTGTCTCCACAGGAGAGAGATGAGAGATGAGGTAGCCTGCTTCCATAAAGGTTTATAGCTTCAGAAGGTCTGGGGCAGTTTATAGCCATGGGATAGTTCTACTCTGCCATATAGGGTCACTATGAAAAGACATTGAGACCATGGCAATGGCTTGGGTCTAGTTATTTCTTGTTGTAGTTCCATTAAAACTATCCATTGCTGTGTATGTAAAATATCTGGCATCTATGCAAGGGACCATCCAAGGTTGCTGACCAAATGTCATAAAGAGGAAGTAACTACATTTTTGGATAACCTGTTCTATCTTTACATAATTCTGCCTGTTAGAATGCTTCCCTTGTATTATGCTTCTTGTTGCTGTTATTAAGTGTTGTCGAGTTAGTTGCAACTCATTTGTTGTTGTTAAGTGTCATCAAGTCAGTTCTGACTCATAGCTACCCTGTATAGGGTTTCCAAGGAGTAGCTGGTGAAAAAAATCACATTTACCTTTGGGAAGACCAAACCTACTTTTGGCTCACTCTTGTGCTAAAAAAGATATAATGCTTATACTGAAATTTCAGTGATTAAAAAAAATTGGTATATATGTTTTTAAAGTGCTTAGAGGACTTCATTGCTGATGAGAAATTTTTAAGCATTACTAGTTGAATTTGGGATGGAGAGGGGATGGGGAGAGTTTGTTCCTGGAGTCTTTTAAATCACATCTGGTGCTGTGGGCTAATGCATCAGACTGCACAGTCATTTGAACTGCAAGGTCGGTGGTTCAAACTCACCAGCTTCTCCTTGGAAACCCTATGCAAGGTCACTATGGGTCAGTATCGACTCGACGGCACTTAACAACAACAACTTTACTTTCTAAGAAACTCTGGTAGTGTAGTGGTTACAAATCAGGCTGCTAACCTCAAGGTCAGCAATTCGAAACTACCAGTCATTCCACAGGAGAAAGATGAGGCTTCCTGCTCCCATAAAGCCCCTATGCAGGGTTGCTGTAAGTGGGAACCAACTCTACGGCACATAACCACTACCACTGCCACTTTACTTTCTATTCAGAATGTCTGTTAAGTCAAAAATAGTAGGCAGCCCCCACCATACACAGAGTAGACAGGAATGGGCAACTTGGATGTTGGCTACCCAAAATGGGGAGGCTACAAAGGCAAGAAGTGACTGGTTTACAAACTTTCAAGAGAGAGCCTAGATGCAGAGGGCACAGAGGAAGGTAGAATCTCCACTGAGTAGTACCCAATCTGTCTGGTTGGAGCTGACAAAGGAAGATGGGGATAGCACTCATGTGGTACAATAGTGAATAATTATTATCAGGACTGACTGTGAGGGTTGGAAATGTTTTTTAGCAAAAGGAGGGGAGTGATTGACTTTGCAGTCAGGAGCAGAGGTCCCTACCCAGAGAAAGTGACACCAGAGATGGAGGCAGAGACCATGACATGGAGAGATGGAGCCGCTGGGGACTCTAGACCCAGAGTGGGAGAGGGGCTGTGTGCTGACGACCGGGGGGCAGGCTTGTGGGGTATACCCTTTGGTTGGTTGATGATGCATGGAAGGGATTATCACCATGGCAATGAAATGATATGTGATATGATGAATGTAAAGCTAATGTTCTCCCATGTAAATACTCACATAATTCACAATAAAACATTTTTTAAAAAAAATAGTAGGCAGTAAAAGCCCACATCAGGGATTACTCCATAATTCCTTTCCTCAGCTTCATAAATCCATATGCTTAACAAATATTTGTGTCCTGGTTATGTGCACACCCACCTACATACATACAAGGCTCTGAGGTAAGTATCCTGAAGGTTGCAGATGTGAAAAGTATCCCTGCCCACTAGGAGCTAACAATTTATAACCTGTAAGGCAATCCCTGTGTTCACCTCAATGAAGGGTGCTATATAAGCAAGTACACCCAAGGACGGGAAAGAGATCATCATGTTGGGTTGGATAGTGCTGTGAGTTAGTCTACATAAACTCTAACTTGCCTGTTCCGAATTTATAATTGAAAGCAGAACCCAATTTTAGGTAGCTGGAGTGAAGCTTGGGGAGATAGCAGCAAACTCCCAGCCCCATAACACATGGATATCCAAAAATAGGGCAAGCTGAGGCCTGCCCTTGTCAGGAGCCACATATAGCCTTACTTGGAAAACTGCAGACCTCAAAAAATAATGCAAAGTATTTCCTTCTATTTATGTTTTCAGGTTTTACATGAGGAGATGGCAAATGTATGAAGATTTCAGGGTAGCGATAATTTGCAATTTTGAAAACAAAAATATAACTAGAAATAAGTGATCACACATAAGTTTTGTCATATCCATGTACCACTCATTCTTGGGTTTTCTCCTGAAACTTCTGAACAAGCAAGTACAGACCCTCCACACATGGCAGCAATAGCTGCTTGCATGCCCTATATAGGATATGGCCAATCAGGAAGGAAGTTTGGCACTTCCTGTCTGAGTAACATATACTTTTATAACCAACTTTCCTTGACTTTCTTCTTCTTCCATCAAGGAAGTTAAAAAATTATAGCTAATAGAGGAAAAGATTGGAAAGCCTGGTACCGTTGCCACAGAATTTGTTAATGTGTTTGTTTTTGTACAGCTTAATTGTAGGGTTTCATTACCTTGTTAACCTCAGAAAATTTTAGTCTACTGGGCTGAGGTATAACCTTAACTTTATTTGGTTACCACAAGAAGGTAAACGTAGGTCTGAAGGTAGTTTGATTGAGCGTTGGTGGCTTGCAGGTAGAGTTCTCTCCTCTCATGTTTAGGAGCCAGATTTGATTTGTTGTTACTACTAAGTGCTGTCAAGTTGATTTCCACTCATAGCTACCCTGTATAGCATTTCCAAAAAGTGGCTGGTGAGTTGAAACCATTGATCTTGTAGTTAGCAGTCCAGTGCTTATCACCACACAGCCAGTGAAAACCCTATAGTTCCCAATGATCTGATTCTTAATCATCATGAGTATGCGACAGGATTAGGCAGCATTTTGTTCCTTTAAAAAAAAAAGCAAAAACTTTTTATTGTAATTTGAGTTAAGGTTTACAGAGCAAATAGATTTTTCATTCAACAATTCATACACATTTTGCTTCATGATAATGTTTGCAGTACCCATAATATAACAGCATTCTTCCCACTTCCTTCCTGTGTTTGCCGTTTTCATTCGTCCTTCTACCTTAGCCATTCGTGCCGTCTGAGGTTTATCCCAGGGCAAATGCTGCCCTTTTGATTTTGTATGGTTGATTGTTCTAAGAAGTGCATACCTCGCTGGCATTATTCTAAACCTTATAGTCCTATCTATTGTTTGGCTGAAAGTTGAACCACAGGGGGAGTTCAGTTCCAGACCTGAAGAGTGATTTAGGGTCATAGTCTAGGGAGTTCAACCAATCTTTGCCAGGCCAATAATCCTGTTGTTGTTAGGTGTCATCAAGTTTGTTCAGACTCATAGTGACTCTACAACAGAACGATACCCTGCCTGCGCCTGTGCCAGCCTCACAATTGTTGCTATGTTTGACCCCATTGTTGTAGCCACTGTCCCAATCCTTTTCACTCAGGGTCTCCTTTTTCTTCACTGACCTTCTACTTGACAAAGCATAATGTCCTTCTTCAGGGACTAGTGTCTCCTGACAACAAGTCCAAATCATGAGAAAGTTTCACCATCCTTACTTCTAAGGTAAAAGCCAGCTGTACTTCTTCCAAAACAGATTTCTTCGTTCTACTGGCAGTCCATATTCAATATTCTTAGTCAATGTTGTTGTTGTTGTTGTTGTTGTTGTTGTTGAGTGCCATCGAGTTGGTTCTGACCCATAGTGACCCTGAACAGGGTTTCCGAGGCTGTAAATCTTTACGGGAGCAGAAAGCCTCATTTTTCTCCCATGGAACAGCTGGTAGTTTTGAACTGCTCACCTTGCGGTTCACAGACTGATTCGTAACCACTATGCTGCCAGAGCTCCGTCATTCTTAGTCAATACCATAACTCAAATGTATCAGTTATTCTTCAGTCTTCTATATTCACTGTTCAGCTTCCGCATGCGTATATTTCAGAGTGGTAAGTAGCCAGGCACCATCTAGTTCTTCTGGTCCCAGGGCAGTAGAGACTGTGGTTCATGTGGTCTATTAGTCTTCTGAACTAATTGTTTCCATGTGTCTTTAACTTTCTTCATTCTTCTTTGCTCTAGACAGGGAGCAGCATCTTAGATGGCAGTTTACAAGCTACTAACAAAAGTAGAATGTAGAATATTGTTTTTGTGAATTCTATTATGTCAATTGACCTTGATGCCTCCCATGCCGAGCATTTTGCTTCATTGTATATGGGGTATCCATACGTGGGGGACCTAGTCAACTTGGAGTCCTGGTGTGGCACTGTAGGATAAGTACTAGGTGGCTAACTGCAAGTTGGAAACCCTATATGGGATTGCTATGGGTCGGAACTGACTTGACGGTACATAATAACAACAACAACCATACAGTTGAAAAAACAAATTCTCTGGAGTCAAGAGGGTCAATTTCATCTTTAAGGTACAACTCATGGTTGTGTTTAGCAACTTACCTAAAGGACTCCAGCCTCTGTATCCTTTATTCATCTTCTGAATATTGTAATACAAATAAACATAGAATTAATCATCTCTCTACCTTAGAAATAAAATATGGACGACTTTAAGATCAGTGTCCTACACTGAATAATTGGAAACACTTTAGGACTTGTTACTTTATCCTTAAACAATGACTAGAGTTGTCCTTACTTACATTTGTGTAAAATCTTTTATTTCTCCTACAGACTGTTTGGATTTTACAAGGGAATTCTGCCACCCATCCTTGCTGAAACACCAAAAAGAGCCGTGAAGGTAAGTAGTGTCACTTCTCATCAAGTAAAAATAAGCTACAGTCACAACTTCAGCATTCAAACATCCCAAAACAAGCCATGGGGCATTAATGTGAGTTAAATACATAAGGCACTAAAAATGTTAATGTAGAAATTGTAGCATAATGTTTATTATAAGTAGACTTTGTCAATCTATAAAATAACCCCATACTGTTTGCTTGGTTGGTTGTCAGGCAAAGGCACTCTCTCTCTCTCTCTCTTTTTTTTTTCTTTTTAATTTTTATTGTGAATTGAGTGACAGTTTACAGGGCAGATCATCAGTTTTACATTCAACAAATCATATGCTTTGTTTCATTACAAGGATTGTAATCCCCTCCATGTACTATCACTTAACAGTATTTCTCTCTATTTATTTTAGCTCTTTTTTTTTGAACACTCAGGCATATATAATGATTTACACCACCAAAGGGCACATTCTGCAAGTCTGCCTCCTGACCACCAGCTCTCAGTCCCTCTCTTCCCATGAATCTAGAGTCCTCAGCTGCTCCCTTTCTCCATGTCCCCATCTCTGCCTTCCTCACTGGTATTGCTGCTTCTTTGGATAAGACCCCACATTCTGCATGAAAGCACTCTCTTTCTAATGGGAAAGTTAAACAAAAAGTATAGTGGTGAATGAAATTCATCTAAATGAATCTCAGCAGCCACAGAATAGCTTGAAACTTTTCTCAAAGCAATTTAGAAATTTTCCTTTGGATCAATAATTATTTTTAAAAGAGAAAGGAAGAAACATCTTTCTCCCCAAATCATCCCCAATATTTTATGAAGAGAATGATCAAATACACTAGATTTCTTTGTATATGGTTTACATATAACACATTTATTTGGCTATTAACTTCTCTTTATCCCTTGGTCTCTTCTATTAAGAATTCTTTATTTTGAGTCTTATAAAAGTATTACTTCTATTATCCAGATTTCCACCATTTTAACCATATACCTGTGGAGGCTGATGTACTATTTTTGGTTCAATGTCTAGATCAGAACATGGCGATCTGGCAGGAATACCAGGAGATTTAAGAACTAAATTTGATCACCTTTTTCATATAACCTATCTTACAAAAAGTACTGGTAACAGTGACTCTTACCAGTCTCTCCCACACCACAGACATCACCAAATATGACTTTGTCTTTCCAGAATACCAATAACAAAACTTACAGGAAAAATTTCCTTCCAACTATTAGCAGAAAGCTTTTTCACATCCATTACTCAATCTGTATTCACAATATTCTTGGAAGGTGAGAAGAGGCAGTTAACATACATGTAAGCTAAGATGGTGGCTGGGTTAAAATTCATAAAATAACCAACATGCCTCCACAACCACCAAATTTTTGCATTATGTCAAAATACTAAATAGGATTTGATTCAGGTCTGGAATTCAGAAATCAAAGCTTAAAAACATACTTTTTTTATAAACTCATCCTCTTTGTTGCTATAGCTTTTGTGATTTTTATTATTACTTCAGTACAAGTTTCATTATAAAGATATGAATTGCAGTGGAGAATCTGGAAAAAGTTCACCAAAGTACACAAAAGGGCCGAATTGAATTATGAAATGGCTTCACTTGATAAAAGATTGCCCAAGTAAACAAACAGAGCAGAGTTCCTGTCCAAAAGGAAAGTCACTTTGTCTCCCTGAAATAATATATCCATTTGTTCAGTGTACATGTATAAGTAAAGTAAATTAGAATTAGGTTCTTCCTGGAATTTTTCTCCATTCGTACCATGTATTGGAGGCAACTGAATCTTTAAAAGGATTAAGATTTATCAATGTTGAACAGTCTTTTACGAGAAAGAAAGAAAAAAAAAAAAAAAAGAGCTTTACGAAACTGAGTTATTCTCTACTTTAAAAAAAAAAAAATGCAATGCTCCCTGCCAGAACAATGGTTAACAGATGAACTTTCAGGCAACTGGATATAGTGTATGTATCCCAGACATCTTGTTTCAAGTAGATTTTACCTTAAAATTATTGAGACATATGGTAAGTACTTTGGCTTTTAAGTATAACTTGGAGCTTAGTGTATCTTTGCCAGATGGATATCACTTGGGGTTTTTTGTTTTGTTGTTGTTATTGTTTTTGGCAAAACTTATGAAAACATTCATTTTATAGACATTTATCTTAGGATTTGTGAAGAAAGCAATCACCTGATTGTAAAAATTTCATACATCATAAAATGCTTCGTCATATGTCATCAAAGTTTACTTCAGGGCTAAAAACTTTCAATGACAGTGTGTGTGTTTGTGTGTGTGTGTATCTTCCTTCCTTGGTACTCACATTTTAATTATAACTGTTGCTACAAACAGAAGCGATTTTGAGTTTTTCCATACTTTATCATTTGAAATTAGATGAATCCTTCAAGTAATAAGATTTATCAATGAAACTTCCTCTTTCACAAAATAAAACAGAGTTAGTATTGCAGGTAGCAAAATAAAATAAAAACCTCAGAAAGAGATCAAATGGACCTTACAGATAGGAGTTACCACCAAGTTCCAGCTTTCAGGGTCTGGTCTTGAGCTTTATAGGTTCAGATTCTCAAGTACTCCATAATGCTAACCAAACTTGTTGTTTAGTGTTGTTGAGTTGGTTTCGACTCATAGTGACCCAGTATAGGGTTTCTGAGAAGTGCCTGGTGAGTTTGAATCACCGATCTTATGGTTCAAACTGACCTTTCAGTCCTGCGCTTATCCTACAGCACTATACCAGGGCTCCAACCAAATTTAGGAGAGATGATAAATAACGAAGGCTATTTATTCATTACTGTATCTCTACAACTATGATATAGTATCTACACATAGATGTTCAATCCATATAAGATGAATAAGTAAAATACATAGAGAGGGGAAAAAAGAAAATGTATTACTTTGTAACAGAAAACATTCAAGTCTTATTCCCTAAAATTTCCACATCAGAATATCTAGAAGACCAAAGACTTCTACTTCTGGCCAAAATGGAGTAACAGGAGTCAGATTTTCTTCCCTGCCTAAAATGGCAACAACAACAAAATGAATAAAATATGTTATACGATGGTTTTCAAGACACTGAACCTCAGCAAAGAAGCATAATAGTATGTGAGAAATGGGGACAAATGAGATGATTTTCATAGGATTGCCCCACTTTACTGCCTTGACAGAGATTCCAGGACACCAGGCAGGGAAGAGGAATTCAGGCAGAAGGGACCAGTAGACAATCTGAATTGAGATTGGGTTTGTTGTTGTTGTTAAGTGCTGTTGAGTCAGTTCTGACCCATAGCAACCCTGTATAGGGTTTCTAAGGAGTGCCTGGTGAGCTTGAACCACTGACCTTGAGTTCAAACCAACTTTGCAGTCCAGTGCATTAGCCCACAGAGTCACACCAGGACTCCTTGAGACAGGGTTTAGAGTCTGGGAAAGCAAGGCATCTAAAGTTTATAGACAATTACCAGAGAAGAGGGTGGCACAGAGAGAAAACTCCAGAAATCTGCAGAGCGTCCCCTAAGTATTCAACAGAGTACTGAACAATGCATGCAGGTAGGAAAGTGCCTGAGGCCTGCGAAAGAACCATCCAAAAGAACTTGAAAAAAACAACTTTATACTCACACAGGGCTGGGACTAGTACTTGTTCAAACTAGAGAAGCTCAAAATTCACAGGGCATAAGGAAGACCTCTCAGAGCAATCCTATCTTGGTAGTGGGAGATAATCAGCCGAAGACTGAACACTGCTCAAGTCTTCTTGGTTAAAAAGCAAGACCCAAATGGATCGAATGCTTCCATGTAGTGAACAGCATCCCAGAACAAACTGTCACATCTTTCTCCCAAGTGTTGTTGAGGTCAGATTGTTTCTCCGAAGATTGGAGCCCGGACTGAAAGCGAGGGAAAAAGCAGTTTGGAGAGCTGATTCATCCAGACTGTGGCAAAATGCACTGACCTTTCTCTGCCCTACCACAATGTCACAATTCTACAGGGACCACCATGCCCTGTCCTCCAGACCGAGCCCCTTTGCCCTCGGATAAATCCAGCCATATCACCACTTTTTCATTACAAAATGTAGGTTTTAAGTAGCATAGCTAAGGAGCCCTGGTGATGTGATGGTTAAGTGCTTAACTGTTAACCAAAAGGTTGGCAGCTCCAGCCTACAATCCATTCATGGGGGACAAAACCTGGTGATCTGCTCCCATGAAGATTGTTGTTGTTAAGTGCCATGAGTTGGTTCCAACTCATAGCGACCCTGTATAGTGTTTCTGATGAACGAATGGTGAGTTTGAACCGACCTTGTTCAAATCGACCTTGCAATCCAGTGCTTTATCCTATAGCATCACACAGCTTTGGAAACCCTACTGGGCAGTTCTACTCTGTCATATGGGTCTCTATGAATTGGAATCCACTTGACAGTATACAACAACAACATAGCACAGTAAATTAATTGAATTTGACATTTTATGTCCAAGTTCCAAAATGCTGGTTAAACATGAATGTTTCCAAAACTCTTCAGTCATACTTTGGGTAATAAAAACTGCATTACATGCGTGGTAGATAAGTATTTTTTGCTGTAGATTGTGTTCAAAAAAAGTTTGACATACTCTTCCTTGAGGGACTCAAGGTTTCCAGGGTCTGTGTAGCCATCCCAGGTATCAGAGGAGGCAAGAAGTCCCCAGCAGCAAGGAAAACCAAACTATAATCACAGTTTAATCATGAATGAGTATAGTATTTTATGGAATTCTGGTGTGGCACTGTAGAATTAGCAGTGGACTGCTAACCAAAAGGCTTGCAGTTCAAACCCACCAGCCATTCCTCAGAAACCCTATAATGGAGTTGGCTGTAAATGGAGCCAACTTATTAAGTGCCATTGAGTCAGTTCTGATTTACAGTGACCCAGTATAGCTTCCAAGGCTGTAAATCTTTGCAGGAGCAGAAAGCCACATGTTTCTCCTGTGGAACGGCTTGTGGGCTCAAACCACCAACCTTGTGATTTGCAGGCTTCTGATTATCCTATAGAGTCATCACATCCATATAAGGAGAAACAATTGGTGTTCTACAACAATAGAAATTATATGTTGATTTAGTCTCCCACAATTTGTTATTGTTAAGAGCCATCAAGTCAATTCCAACTCATAGGACCCTGTATAGGGTTTCCAAAGAGCGGTTGGTCAGTTTGAACCACCGACCTTGTGGTTCAAACAGGCCTTGTGGTCTAGTGCTTATCTTATAATGCCACATGAAGACTCAGCCCTTAATCTTTTTTATTGGTTTATCACATGATGGGGGAGCATCACATAACTACCACATTATATCATTACGTAACTACAACTCACTGAAAATCATGGCCCAGCCGAATTGATACCTATTGGGGGTGAGGGTTGGGGGGAGGCTGGAGGTACACAATTCAGTCCATGACATATAGTATCATGGTTAACAATATACACAAGCTTGGTATTGGAGGTAGAGGAAAGTTCCAATCAGTCCACTCATAGCATCAGGGTATACATCTGCAAAATGGGAATCATGATTGTATAGATGATGTTATTGTATGGATCCAATGCAGTAGCACATGAAAATATCTTAACATGTTTTCTCACAGTGATACATATATCCAAGGCATCTATGGTTCCCATGGCAACCAAAGTGAAGGAGGGGAATGGAAACTAAGATTTATTGAAAGTCTTCTATGTGCCAGGCATGCCAAGAAATCTTAGTTAAATCTTTATCTTATTTACTAATAACTCTAAAAGGTAGATTTTGTGCTTGGGGAAGTTAAAAGGTTAGTTGATTTTTTTCATGCTTTCACAGCTAAGTAGCCATAGCCAGGATTCAAACCCAGGACTGTTCATTTCCAAATCCCAACAAGATGATTATCAAAGAATAGTGATTATGGTCGTAGGATGGAAAGAAAACAAATGATCTTTAAAACCTAATACAATAATGCCTCTCCTTCCATGGTTAATGGTTTTAGTATCTATTGCATTAGAATAGTGAGTACAGGACAGTTTCAGGGTTGTCATCATCTAATAGAACCAAGGAGGCTCCATCCCCAGTTCCTAGACCATAGAAAGCACCTATGTTAAATAAGTATTTGTTGAATGTTATGTTGTTATGTTAAATGCCATTGAGTCAGTTCTGAATCAGAGTGACCTGTATAGGGTTTCAGAGACTGGAATGAGTAAGTGAGTAAATTCTCTTTCTAGAAAAGTGGACATCCATTATTGATTTAAAGTCATTTCTAGGTATCTAAAATCTGTCTAGTGGTATAGTGACTTTTGGACTACCTGGTATAACTCTGTGGGTTAATGTGCTGTACTGCAAAGTTGTTTGGACTGCAAAATCATTTCAACTTCAAGCTCACTAACTGCTCCTCAGAACCCCTATACAAGATTGCTATAGGTCAGAATTGACTCAATGGCACTTAACAACAACAATGAAGAAGACTTAGAGCCATGTCTTCAAGGAACCACCTCTTTCTAATCCACCAAGTCCACTTCCATCCAGTCCATTCTGTCTCATATTTACCCTAAACTGCCCATTGGTTTTCCAAGGCTGTGATCTGCATAGAAGAAAACTGCTACTTCTTTTTTTCACAGATCAACTACTGGTTTCAAATTGCCAACCTTTAGGCTAGTAAGCGAGTGCTTAACCACTGCACACCAGGTCTCTTCTTTGCAACAACCAAATATCATTTGCTCCACACCTGTGTTTTTTCTTGCCCAATTCTGCTATAAGTTAATGCAGTTGTTGGTTGCTGTCAAAGTGGCTTCTGACTCATGGTGACCCCATGTGTGGAGAGTAGACCTGCTCCACAGAGTTTTCAAGGCCATGATCGGGCCTGTCTTTCCAGATAAGGTCATAGAATAGGAAACAGTTTCTACCACTTAATGCTTAAATCATTTCTGGGGACTCTAAAAGCAGACCGTAGTGGGACATATGAATAGGCCTTATCAGTAATGTTGGCAGCTACCTGACAGAGTACCCAGGAGCAAAGCATCATATTCAAGCAGAATTTTTGCCCAAAATATAAAATATAGCAAAAGAGAAAATTTTGACCATTCTATATGAGGTATTGATTAGATTTACTTCCATGGAAACTAATTTGCTAAGAAAATTATATTAAATATCATCTGCTATAGAAACCAACAAAATCTTGTCATCATTAGATTTTTTTTTAAATGTTTTATTGTGAGTTATGTGATAGTTTACATGGGAGAACATAAGTTTTACATTCATCC